ATAGACTCATGAAGACTATGTTGTCTTCATAGCTCATAGCTGTGCATCTTCAGAACATGAGTATTTTTGAATATTCTCTTATATTGCATTTGATAGTCACCACAGTCCAAAGCTTCTGAAACTGACAAAGAATGAAGGGGCTTTTTTGCTTGTCTTTCCACTGAAGACCACATCATAGAGAGTATTTTCCTATTCAACATTCTATCCAAACCAGCATCTTCCTATTCAACACTAAGTACCTCAATGTTAGGCACTAAGCTAATCATCACAGTTTTCTTTTAGAGTTATGAGAGAGACATAAGCACCTCCAGAAGATAATTAATCTGATTTATCTTAGGACAAAGTTAATAGCCTTCTGAAATAGAACAATTCTCTCCCATCCTAAAAAGATACCCTAGATCTCAGGCTACTCACCTCACCCTGGAAGAGTTCTAACCCATGCAAACTCCAGTAAATTCCACTCCACATATTGTAAATAGTACTTCATATTAAACTATGCTCTGTTCCACAAGCAGTTCTACCAAATCAAACTAAAAGCTTAAGGACAGGGTATTATTTCATTACTGCAACGGTTCAAAGCTGCACCAGGGAAGGTTTAGATTAGACATTAGGAAGCACCTCCTTACCAAGAGGGTTGTCAAACACTGGAACAGGCTTCCTAGAAAGCTGGTCAATGCCCCAAGCCTGACAGTGTTTAAGAGGCATTTGGACAATGCCCTTATTAATATACTTTAACTTGGTCAGCCCTGAACTGGTCAGGCAATTGAACTAGATGATTGTGTTAGGTTTTCAACTGAAATGATCTGTTCTGTCCTATTCTACTCTATTCTGTTTCATATGAAAAATATCAATGCATATTTCTCCACATGTTCATAAAATATTAGCTGAGGGACACTTCCCCACTCCAGTGTGCACTTTTTCAGTCATGTCACAGCTCCAGGATCTCAAGATGAGACCCAGGATGCACCACTTTACCTGTGTTCCTATAATTTAGTTTCTATAGAAAAGACACAAGTTTATAGCCTGCCCAGGAGCCATGACATGCTCCAAGCTAGTCCCAGGATGGATGCCTGGAGGACATGGATCCCCAGAGACATTGCAGTATGCACTTTCAGGCAGGTCACATGCAGCTTCTGGTGCTTTTATTCAAAGACAGCCTCTATTACAAGGAAAGCCTGGAGTTCGGATCTGACCTTGAAAAACCCCTATCCAGAGACCTCCTGCATGGAATACATACCATAACTGAGATAAATATGAAATTCTTTCTCCTCAGCTCTTATCTGACTGCAAAATGTTGTCTTCTAGCCTTTGTAAAGGGCTCCTTTGTTTAATACAAAGGCTTAGCATTTTTTTAATGTCATTGTCAATTTTATATGTAATGCTGCTATATTTTCTAGTTTTCAGCTGATGGGAAAATTCCTCTGGTTTAAACAGACATTTTCCCCATTTTGCAAAAAGGAAAGGAAACACAGCCAAGACTACTTTTTCAATGAAAATAATTATATAGAAAAAGGCTGTAAGAAGAAAAAATATTTTCAAAGTTAAAAAAATAATATTCTTTGTATTTTCCCCCCTTTTTAAACATTTTTGTCATTATTTAAATAGGGCATCATGATCAAATTTTTATGTTTATTAAAATATTGCTCCCAACCATATAGAAAAATATTCAATTGCTCCCTCTCACAGTTTCTCAGTCTGGAGAGAAATGCCACAATGTGCCTTGTAAATCTCACCTATGCACATAATCATTTCATAATTCTCCTAATGTGTTCCTGAACATCCTCTTTTGCTGTGGTATAATGCTCAGGAACACAAACATGCATTTCTTTATATGAAGTAAAAAAAATTTCTGTTTTAGTTAAATTATCATTGCCTTTTTTTTCCTACTCCCTCCTGCAGGCTACATAGACTCAAAATAGTCAATTCTAAAGCAGCAAAAATTAACTCAGTACTTGGCTTACTCACACTTAACCTCCCATATTTATTCCTTTTCCATGGTAACTCCTAATGTCAGCCCTCGCTCACTAATATGCAGACAGATTAGGAAAAACACTTTAATCTTTCCGTAATATTTGGGTTTTCATTCTGATGGTAAGTAATTTCCACCTGGGTTTTCTTAACATTCATGCTATTTCTAATTCATTATTCATGTATTACCTTATTAGATCCCCATATCTGAACAAAGTGCAAAACATCAAGCAGACCACATTTTTAAAAATCAATTTGTTTTCTCTCATTATTCACTTGGTCTTTTTGCTTAGTGACTGATACCATAGATATTCAGAATTTAGTATCATTATTTTTTACAATAGTGTGATTAAATATGCTAACAGAGGCAGACAAGCAAAATATCTCGTACCGCCACTGGTTTTAGCTCTAACATAGTGCTTAACTAATAACAGCTCAAGATGTGGAAATGCAGGTGCTGCTTTTTAACTTGGTATCCTGTAGAAGACAGGATAGTACTTCAGCAGTTAATTGGGTTACCTTTTTCTGCACATGAAGGATGAAAACTTATAGAAAATGCTTGGAGGCAAATACAGACTTTTTTTAGACCTTTCAGAAAATTCTTTGCAAGGCTCTTCTGCAATATACTAACATCACCCAAGCTGTTCAGTTCCCTTTGTTTCTTTATGCTTTTATATTATACATGATAATCACATATGGGTTATTTCATTTGACAATCAGACACTTATTATTCATTACTTCTTAATACTGACTCTTGGTGCAGTTCTTTTCATTTTTCTCAAAAAAGTGGTTTCGAAACCACAGAGCACTTTAGAGTTTTTCCTTTTATTTATATAGACTTATGGGAGCAGAAAGAGGAGCTACAAAAATATTGTAGTTACTACATGTTAGGGAAAACTACTTGCTTTTTGATAATATGCTATTCTCTTAAGAAAGAAGCACTTACATTTCCACAGCAATCTAGATTTTTCTGGACATCAGAATTAAGACTATTAAAATCTGGAAAAACATCTGGAAAGACAGATACCTTCATTCACCTGCCACCTGGTTTCAATAGGTTAGACCAACTTTTAGTCAGAAATTTGAATTCCAGTTTGCTGTAGTCTCAAAACAGCTTTGCAGCTGTGTGGGAAATGAACAAAGAAAGGCACAACATGCAGGATCTGGACAAACTAGAAGGCAGGACAAATACTGGAGGTTTTAAGAGGAAATTTTTTTTTCCTTTTAGTGGTGGTAGGTCTGCAAGCATGTTATGGTAGCCATTGTACTGAATCAGTGTGTATGATGGCCAACAGAAAAAGGTCTGGCTTTTTCATAGCATCACTCCTGAAGATGCATGAAACGAGTCCTGAGGATTGTTGCCATCCATGGAGGACAAGAAAAGTCCAACTCCTGAAAAAAGCCAGACCAGTCTGCAACAGAGGCGTAAGCCCTTGAGAACAAGAGCCTTGGGTTTCTGTAGATTACTCACATCCTCACAGTGGACAGAACTTCGTAACCTTGACCAATGCAGAAGAAACTATCTTCTGACAAAATGTTAGGAATAAATCTCCTCAAGGCGATTCTAACTGATATTTCCTCCGTTTGTGACCTCTTTTTTTCCTATGCAAATGTAATCCAGACCCAAGTTTTTACTTACTGCTTGTCAAATACCCACAGTATGTATAAAATGGTACACATTCTTTAACAGTAATAGTGCCATGTAATACTAGCCAGGAAAAATTTCAAAGCACACACTTGTGTTTTTTTCTATTTCTATAACTATTTTTAAGTTCTATCCAGTTCTTTTTGTTTATATTATACATGCACACACATTTTACATGCATATAATCAGATTTGCATTGGCATGTACAAAGTTAAGTGTGGGCAGCATTCAAGCAAGGTTAGCTTCAGAAGAAATATATCTGAGAAACGATTCAGGAGTGGAAATGTATCTCAAACACTCAGGAAGTATCCTTCCTTCAAAGAATGTCAAAATGCTTTAAAGACTTATACATACAGAAAATGAGACATGTAGAGCTCTCTGTGGAATGGAAGGAATACAATTTATTCAGCACATACTACATTTCACTACAACTAAAATGTACGAGAAATTTAGTGCAAAGAAGATTGCAATAAAATGACACGGAGACATAAACACCTGTATAGAGTAAATACCACACTAGCCAATTATGGCCTGACACTGCAAACAATTACTAAATACTTACAAGCAAAGTCAATCATCAGTATGTATGATGGGGTGTAGGTGTTCATGGTTACACAAACGTGTGTGTCTTCAGAGTGCATTTTAATCTGTTTCATGTTGATGAAGAACTGTGCTGACTCTATAGAGATACAACACTGTAGTTTTAGGAAGTTTGAGTGCTTAATGGTTATCTGAAGAATTTGTTATTCTCATGTTTCTCTTAGACACTAAAAAGCAGAGATGACAGCACTTTTATTTTGTTTTCAGGCATTGTATATGATGAATGTTACATGTATTTCTGTTAATGTAGTTTTGAACCAATAATATAAAAAGTGTCAAATGGAAAAAGGAACTGCCAAAATTTTTTAGTAAATCCCGGTCATACAAGACAGAAAGAAGCAGAAGATCATACTGTAGTGATGTACCCAATACTTACCATACTCAGCAGCTTCTATGTAGAAACATGGTAAATCCATGTTATTGATAAAAATGCGCTTGTTTGCTACCCTGTGAATGAAGAGCTTAGCAAGGTGTATAGACTTTGTACAACTGGTTTCAAAGATAAATACATATCATATTATAATACATTTGATCATCACTGGTAGTTGAAGGAGTCAACTCTACTATCTCCTCTGCTTACCTGAGAAGGTCTGGCACACTGCTTACCATGTTAAAGCAATTGCAAAGTAGGCTGAGAAAAGTGTGCAGGACCAGGAAGTCCAATCCCAGTATGACTCTTCCCACACTTCTTTATTCTTCTCAACTCATGTCTTCTATGTGCACCAAATTTCCTGCGCACTTTTTTTTTTAACTTGTTGGTAACATGTCAGGTTGGTATCATACCTACCCTAGTTGTTTTCACTTTATTCCCAGAGGAACAGCTCCATCCCTTACGATCTGGAAGAACTTTACATTCCTCCCCTTCAAGACATGGTTGCATGTGGCACCACCATTTCTGCTCCACTATTGAAGCTACAAGAAAGGAAAACAAACACATTTGCATGTTGTTGAAATGAACACCTTAATGTCATTGTGCAGCAACATTTATTTTCCAGGAAAATGTTAGAAATATATTGACTAACAGCTAGCTTGTGATTTTCAGCCAGGTCAGAATCTTCATAAGAAATTAGGTCTCAGTTTGCACAAGGTGCTATGTGCTTTCAAGTCAATCTCTTTACTATGTTTCTCTTTCTAATTTACTGCAGTTCAGGAACTAATTTCAAAGCCCTCATTTTTATTTGTTCAGATGATTCAAAGTACAATCTCTTCTTCTGAGTTACTGTATTTTGCCTGATCTACTATATAGTCTAGCATAACCTTATTAGAATTATTCCCCAATGATGATGTATTTACAGCTTCTCTGACAGCCAGCAACACATCAACAGTAAAGATATCATGTAATGAGTGATAAAAATCAGCTAGTATTTTCCCAAATAAAACATATGAGCCTATGCCAGATTTGTTAAGTAAAACATTAATATTGCACTGTGAATAGGAAAAATAGTGTTGGTCTAAAAAGACTAAAAACCATCCAGAACTGTGTTCTGTTTGTTCACTTGTTTGTTCCTGTATAATAAAAATAAATATATAAATAAAATGTAGACTGCAACACATGAAAACTATATGCTCATATAGATTTGCATAAACACTTTTAATTAAGTGAATTTCATACAACTCCTAGGGCACACTCAGTTAGACCAAATTTAGCTTCTCAAGAGGTCTCTTTCACTGGCATCCAATAATTTGCTTCAGAGTAATAGCAAATAATTAATTTTTCCCATTTTCTCATTCACCTTGGGCATGCCCTTCAAAATGCAGCAGCTTTCCTACTCTTATTGTAAATAGTTAACTGCAATGGAGTGGTTCTCATTGATGAAATTAAGCCAGCCAAACCCTCTAGGAACACGAAGCAAAAGGGAGCAATAGAAATAGTCGCACCATCAACACAAGAAGGAGCTGCCCGGGTGGTACCTGCTACCTGCCCAGGGAAGCAGGAGCACTTCACCGTCTGTGATCTTTCTTCTATCTTGTTCTTATTGCAACATCTGTGGAGTGCCACCACTTCACAGGTCCCAGTTTTAACATGGTGAGCTGTGAAAATAAGATGAGCAATTTGACAACATTGTGAGGTAGCATCATACTACTTCAGGTTTTTTTTAATTAGAAACACATTAAACTTGGCTCTGTAAGGCAATCTGCCATGCATGAAACTAGAATTAAAATGGTACTAACACTAGAATGTGAACTTGATTTCTTTTCCAAATGTAGTATAACTACCTCATGCAGAAAACACTGGCTAAAGAAAAACAGTTGGAGAAGGCTTCATATGGGACAGTTCCAGTGAAGCAGGAAGCAGAAACATAAAACTAACCTAGAAACTGTATTAATTTCTGGACTCCCATAAACAGCTATATAGCTCTACCAAGATTTTTTTTCACCCTAAGGGAGAAACTTTGAAATGGAAGTGGTGTTTCAATGTTAAAACACCCATGCATACATATTTTTTCAGAATCTATGTCTGCAGACTTTATGTCCAGGGCAGATGCAGTTTTTGACACAACATCCCAAAACCTTCCTACAGATGAAAAGAGAAGACCTGGCAGGATACAGCCCTCAAAACAAAACCCAAAAATAAAACTGAAGGCATCACATTTCATTTTTGCTTGGCTCTGCAAAGTAAGTCTGGGAACATGGGGAACCAAGTTTTTCAAACACAGGAGGCAACAGGACAATCTTCATTATCCCATATCCAATAACCATCACTCTCACCCATGCTGCTCTAATTGATCACCAGGATCATGCTACTGGAACCCTATGAGAAGAACAACTGTTAAGAGGGAAGCTTACCAAACTACACTTCTTGTTTCAGCGTCCAGTTACCCAAAGATCTGGAGTTCAGAAAAAACCCTAGTTTTAATTAAACTTTCAGTTTATTTCTGGGAATAGTTCATTTCCATCAGAAAGAATCATAGAATTATAGAATCATAGAATCATAGTTGGCAAGGACCTTCAAAGGACACCTAGTTCAACCCCTTTGCAGTGAGCAGGGACATCTTCAGCTAGATCGGGTTGCTCAGAACCACATCCAGACTGGCCCTGAATGTCTCCAGGGTGGTGCACCCACCACCGCCCTGGGCAACCTGTGCCAGTGTTTTACCACCCTCATTGTGAAGAATTTTTTCCTCACGTCTGGCCTGAATCTCCCCTCTCTTAGATTATAACCGTTACCCCTCATCCTATCACAACAGGCCCTGCTAAAAAGTCTCTCCCCATCTTTCTTATAGGCCCCTTTTAAGAAATGAAAGAAATCTGAACTTTTAGCTGGTGTTGACCTACAATCTTGATAGGGAGGAATATTAATTATGCAAAGCAATACATGTTTTCAGAGTACCCTTTAGTTCTCTACTTCCACTGCTGTTAAATTTTTTGTATGCTTTATGCAAAGCCTCTGTAATGAATGCTTCAGCTACCTTTTATATTCCAAATGGCAAATAATAAACAGGAGCTTCCATGAGAAAGCTGTACTAACAGGCTTTCAGGCAAACATTGATCTCTTATTGCACTCAGTTACTATTGCACAATATCAGTTCCCAAAAGGCTTGAAGAACAAAAATAAACCTGATGTAGGCTAAGGACCCCATGAATGTGCCTAGAGGCAAAAGCCACTGGCAGCAGCAAGTTCTTCATCAACAAAGCATAAACTACTAAACATTTCATTCAGGCAATTTTCAGTAGAAAAAAGTCCACTGAACAGTCTGTGTGATCTTTGTGATCATTCACTGCATTGTACTATGTTAGGTTAGATTATGCTCCACCATATCATGCAGCACCACAGATGAAATGACATAACACAACCTGAACAATTAACCCATGATCCATCATACTGCGGTATGCAGAAATGTCACATAAAAATCAGAAATCTAGGAGGAATTTTTTTTTTCCATAAAATTGCTTTTCATTGTTTTATTAACTATTTATCACTTCTAATTCAATAGAGGATGATGAAAGTAATTCACACTACCTGCTTGTACTTTGCAATCTCTGATATTTTCATACCTTTAATGATGAGCAAATATTTCTACACCTACTAGTACAGCCTGCTGTAACAATTACTTCTAATTATCTATCAAACAATTTCAGTGGTATAAATGCCAATAAAACAATTTAAATAAATAAATTATTTTTTCTCACTAAAACAGTTGCAAGATTGGGTTTTTTTGTGAATATGGCAAAAAAAATAGTCTAGGATATATTTTGAATGTATAACATACAGTAGAACAAACACATGCTGCTTTTCACATGAAATATAATTTCACATCAATTTTTATTTTGATAGGCAATTACATCTCTTATACCTTGTCGTGGTTTAAGCCCAGCCGGCA